CATCGCCGCCGCAGGATCCTTGGGTGGCTAGTGCCTCGTCCCCGTCCGAAATGTGTAGCAATTAATTACCGTCAGTTGTCTGTGTACGAGTGACATAGCGCTATGAGAATGTAGGTTATGATGTTGAATGTTTTGTGAGGACGTTCATCTCTTGAAGTAGAATACATGTACGGTTATACAGTAAAACGTATTCAATCCTGCTCCAACCTTAGGAGGATCGACAATATCAGTGTCCAGATATCACGACAACCATGGAATTACAAATTTTGTTCATTATCCCATGTTATGCTTTTATCAGTTCTGATGCACGATAAACGTAACCACCCAATCATATTCACGTGCACACATATACAAAATACAATGTAGTAAAAATCAATATACACGATTTTAATACATTAACAACAGGAATAATATTGCAATATCCATGCCCATGAGATATGTCCTTTATGAAGCATTAGCATATGAAATCAATGAAGCTATAAAAACAACATGGTCACACACGTGTGTTTTATGTTCCGCTATCACTGTACACGTGTTGAGACTTAATTCGCCTAGGTGATCCCCATTTATTGATCAGCTACATCTGCGGTATCACACTTCTGTCTTCAGTGAGAAAAACGTGGACTTCCCGTGGTTTTTGTGTGGTAGTTAAATGAGTGAGGACCAGCTGGTATCTGAAAGCATAAGCGTAAGCTACATGTGTATTTGGATAATGTTTTCGCTTACGAATCGAGTGGTATATTTTCTTCACACAAAGTACACAGCACTTATTTGTGTTAAGTTTTGTTTAAAGAGAGGAAAACACACACTCGTACAAGTGTGTTAACGGGCATACATTTCGAAGGATCAAATTGAAAATTGTGTCATTATTTATTTTTGTTTTGTGCTAGTTTCCGTTGTACATGACAGAGTATTGTACAGTTGGTTTCCTGGCCACTTGCACCAAAATGCATTATTGATATTCAAATGTGTACTGTTTAATAATCACAATATGCACATGTGTATCACTATGGCGTATCAACCATCGTTGTTATCGAACCTGATTGCTCATACCATACTGATCCTAATGTTGGGTATGTCGACGCTACATGTTATGCCCTCTCAGAAAATGTACCGCTGTGTGTGCGTGCGTGCGTGTATTTTGACACTGTTAACTGAAACTTTCCTAAACATCTGGCCCATATGTTTAGACAGGAAACCTTTGATTAATAGTCTCGATTTATCAGTAAGTAAATCGACTAACCCACTGTGTAGGGATGTCAAATCATCGACTTTGTGCATTCGATAAGCCAATGTTCTAAACATATAACAAAAATTTAAAATGTTTAAAGTAACCTTCTATCTTTAGTAACAGTACATATCAGTTTATGTTTGGGCACCAATACCTGTTCAGTGTCTGGCTGTACAGTCATTCCCAAAATTTGGACCATACCTGGTCCCAAGGCGCTGGTAACGCATCTTAAGGTCGTGTCTCAATATTCGTCACAATACTATGAGCATAAAATACTAACATTTTACGGATTATGAGAAAGTAGTAAAGCGAAACTGTATGAAGGTAATCAAAATTCTCTGGTTGCGATGACAACTGTCGCACAACTGCCATGTATCACTTAGTGCCTGTTCGTCAAGGTACGTGTGGTATCGCGACAAAGTGTGTCTTTAGACCCTTAGTTCAGAGAAGCAGTACATGTCTCGCAGTTCATTGTTTAATGAGGATGCTTGTGTGAGAGCGGTGCGGGAGGCGTGCACCAACAGTTGGGGAACATGGTATATTCAGTTGGAGATACCAATGGAGTCCCTCCACTTGTTATTTGTGAAGTGCCCGTGGTTCTCTGTGATCATCACTTGACATGGAACACACACAGCCTTTCATTTATATATTAACCTTTTATCTTTACTTTCACGAAGTGCTTTCTTCACATGTTTACCAGTGATATCTGTCGGTGATAATGACGCTCCCAAGTCTCAAGGCCGTAGTGGCATTACACAAAGACAGCACGCAATGACAACACCGCTGCACCACTGTAAATAAAACCCACTGCTCGCGTTCAGGAACAGCACTCACTAACAATACTGCTATCGTGGGAGTCCCACATGTTGTACAGTTAAGTCCCGGTTGTCCAGCAACCCGTCCTGTTGGACTTCTATATGCAGTGTGAATGTGCAACTCTAAAGCCATGTTTCGTTCATCCAGATTAAGGCCCGATTCATAACTCCCATACTTTAACATAGACTTACGACTGTCGTAACGCTAAGGTTGTGTGTACAATGGCACCCAGGGCTAACTGGGTTGCACTCTACGAGAACCTGTAACCTGGACCCAACTCCACAAAGCGACCGTTAGGATGTTCTCTGTACGGTATCGTACCGTTAGTCCCGAAAAATCCGCTTTCTTGATAGTTGAAAGGCCCAATCATACAAAGGTATAATAATTATATCTATATCTTCGTGTTAATCTGAACAGCATCACGGTTGACTATCAATGATAAAGCATTACTCCTGGTATTGGTTGAATAATGATAAATAAATTTATAAAGTTAAATCTTAAAGTTGGCCTGTTTGTCGTCAGCGTTTTTACAAGAAAGAGCCCAATCCTGTCCGAAAAGTAACGTGGAACTGAAATTTTGTGTTACTTTTGAGACTGAACTCGCAGCGTGTATCTGAAGAATGTACCACAGGAAAGTTAAAATGTAGGTATGCCCGTTAGGGCGTCACTGCACAATACGGCATATACATAACAAACCGCATGTCCCACTCATCTTTGACAATCGCATATCCGTATCATGCAGGATGTAAATTATCAACTCCCTTCAGCGTGCAAGTAAACAGACACGTGGCCTCTTATTGTGCTGAATACTCTGGATGCCATAACACTGGTTCCGGTCTTCACAACGTTGATACAGGATACTCCGTATCATGTGTCTGTCACCTGTAGGTTGTCATGAGCGAGTTTTACGCCGCACTCAGCAGTATTCCAGCAATATGGCGGCGGTCTGTAAATAATCGAGTCTGGACCAGACAATCCAGTGATCAACAGCATGAGCATCGACGACATGTGTCAACCAAGTCAGCGAGCCGAACCACCCCATCCCGTTAGCCGCCTCTTAAAACAAGCATGGGTTACTGAAGACCAATTCTAACCCGGATCTTCACGGGTCGTAGGTTGTCATGACCCGTGGTGAGTACACATACGTATACGAGCATAACTGGAGCGAAAACAGGCTGTCCTGGTCATGATGTCCCTGTGGGATGCTTGCTTGACAGGCTGTTGTTGCATGCTTCAATGAACGACGACAGAAGCTAGTGACTGTATTCAGTAACTAGCCACATTGGGTAAACAATTCTCACATACTATATGAGAAGCTTTACTGAACAAGATATGTCTTGAGTCAGTAATTGTTTCAGAATTTGGGGGTCGTTCCTTAACTTTAAAACTATCTTACACAGGAACTAAGTTCATACATGGTTGAAGTTTATAGATATGTAACAATCTTTACTTGACACACAAAGTGAGGACATCAGACGCACACATGTTAAATCATCGGTACCGTTTACTCAGCCTTCCCAACATCACCAGTTATATTGTACAACTATACGAGGATGATGGTGAAATAAGAGAGATACAGTAAACTACGTTTATAATAAACATGCTTATAAGGAACTATTGTCCCTTAACGGACACTCGTATATATCAGTCGAAATGCGTTCAACGAATGCGTTCTATCGAACTGGAAGTCTTATATTCGTACTTTTCTGTAACAGTGTGTTATCCGAATGCCTGATGGTTGGTGGCGATGTCCAGTCCACCATGCTGGATTATGTCCCCCTGTATCAACATGCCTGTTTGCATGGCTGGACAAGGACCCCTTATTGGTGTCAAACGCCACGTATACAGACGCCATCTGTGCTGCTCTGTCGACCACAGTAGATATATCTCGGCATCTTATCGCCACCTTACACCCCAATAACCCTGTGTACATATTGGTGTGACGTGTAATAGATTAATAACATATACATGAACAGCTCGTGTACTGTCTCGTATGTCCATACAGATGACGAAGCAGAATTGTCTGAGATCTAGAGCATATCTTTTGATAGGCTAATTTTCATGAACAAATATGGTCTGTTCAGGTATATATTCGAAACTGATTATTCCCCTACATTGCGGTTTTGATGTATAAGCAGTTTAAAGTTATATTACTTAGATATATTTTTATCTATGCCAAATCAAGCCTCGTCTATGGCATTGAGACTCTTTTTAAGTATTATGATATTACAAAGAACATGCTTATAACTGTGCTCTCGGGATTGACCATCCAAGTTTGTTCAGAGCTCATCATGACAATAATATGACTCAATGCGTCTTTTCATGTCCTCCGATGGTATGACATGATTATAACCCACTCTGCATCATTTTGTTCCACTTGTGCGCATGGTTGACTCTCTGTGAAGTGAAGGGTTTGGCCTCTTTAATCATCATCTACTGTGGATGGTGGTTAGGAAAGTAATGTCACTGTATGTTCATTAAATTCACATTTGCGAGTGTTCTTTCTTACATACTCAGTTCGCACACAGCAAATAATGGTATACGAGGGACCCATAACCTGCTTGTTGAACATCTCTAGTCGTATATCTTAACTCTTGTAATGTTATAAAAGCGTCTCATACAAATAGTATATGGTATAGGACGACAACCATAATTATGTTCTCGTTGACCAATCCATAAATATTGTCACTGACATATCTCCAGGGATTTATCGAGACCTGCTCAGAGGCCCAAATCCTGCAACAAATGTCATTAGAAATTCCCCAAATATCCCAATTTATGGGCTAGTGGTAAGACGCAGGTTCGATTCCTGACAGGGGTCCAATATATGAAGCTCATGCACGGTGCCCACCTACCCAAATATCGCTGGTATGTTACCCCAAAGCGACGTAAATCTCAAATCGCTCTCATATATTGAACGTCGCATTATATTCTGGTGTTTTTGATGTTATAGGAAAGAAGTCGAGCAGATGTTTGATAAATACGTCACAAACTTCACTCGTCGACTGAAGAAAGACGCCGCTCTTACCATGCTGGAGAAGGAGTTTAATCTCTCGGAAGAGGAAGCCGACATTATCTTCGGAGTGTTCGACAAGGATCAAAACAACGAGCTCAGCTTGTGGGAGTTCAATCAGTTCTACAACACGATTGGAGGAGAGTAAGTACTACAAAACAACTGTGCCACAGAGAGATTGTTCTGTGACATTTCCTCTAAACAATATAGCAAGACGTCACTGGGTAGACCGACATGTGTGTATCACGTCATGACCAGTGATCACGTATCAGCGTACACATGGCTCAGACTCACGTCACGGATTTTTCTTGTCCGGACTAGATTATTTACTAGTGAGTATGGTTTTACGCCGTTTTTAGCAATATTTCAGCAATATCACGGCGGGGTACGCCAGAAATGGGCTTTACACACTGTACCCATGTGGGGAATCGAACCCGTGTCTCGGCGTGACGGGCGAACGCTCTAACCACTAGGCTACCCCACCGCCCCCGAATATTTACTAGCCGCCGTGGTATAGCTGTAATATTGCCCGTCAACATCACTCACTTTCTAAAACATAACAAAGATGTGTCTGTGGTGAAATACAATGGATTTGATACAGATTAAACTTCATTGTAACTTCAGTGATAACGTACACGTTAAGTAACAATATATAGGACTAAACAATCCATGAATATTTGTGTGAAGGTACTGTCGATTTTATTTGTTACCATTTATCATCCGTTTAACTCCTGGCCTTCAGTACTGTTTGTCTGAACGTAGAATAGTCGCCCACTTGCAGTTTAACAAAGGCCAGAAGTAACAGTGCATGAACCAGGTAGCATATTTGCAGAAGATCACGGGGATTATGGCCCTTACATGTTATACATGGCGCGAAGGTAAACTGACTTCTAACTGCCTGGGTCACGTTTTACCTCAGTTCTTCTCGAATATGAAGGGAGGATATATTCATACGAAAGAAACACTTTCGGGGATTTGGATGGTTGTTTAGGCAAGATATCTAGTTTGGACACTCACCACAAATTCCATTTGGTACTCTGGAGGCTGGCCTCAGAACGCTTTTAGAAAAACTTATCCGCGCCAGAAAATGTAGGAAGAAAAAATGGTCGTTAGGTGTTTACCTAAACTGATATATCCGGATAAATCCCGGACGTTTAGATGTTCTGAAATACTTCTTGCAGAATATATTGCTATGACCTTAAACGCTGACTCAAAAACACTCCCCCTTCCGACAACCAGATTGAAATTCACTGCTACTGTGACCTTTTACTCCCTCGGAAATTAAAGTTAGTATAATGCAGAACATATAAGTGAAATATAAGTGGTCCTTAAACCGTACATGTGGTCACTTCGGTATTTAATCAAAGCTGTCTTCGCTGTAAACATTCCTGTCAAGATGATGTATTCCTGAAGAAATTATTCAGACGCACGAGTCTGCTTCATGACATATTCGTTTGCGCTGGAGGTGACATTGTTTGCAGTGCACTTTCAGGTGTTGAACGTCCTTGTCAACAGAGCTTGCCGCTAGTACCCAGAGCACGTGGCTCTTTGTTTACTGTCTCGTAATCACTCGGTAATTGGCGGCTCTTTTCGGTATACAATGGTGGCTTAGCGTCAGGACAAATATATGGTGGTTCTGAAATATCAAGCTATTTGAACAATCTGGTTTGCAGTAGTCTCGTGTTGTCTGGCGACCCTGTACCCTTACATGACTCTTCGCCCCTGAAGAATTTCAGATAACGTACAAAATAAGAATCAGTCTGCTTTATTCTATATAGTTCATGTATCAGAGAAGGCGATGGTATATCAGACATAGCTAGTATTTAATCCTTTACATAATAGTAATGTAGTGTTTCTCGTATGTATCCGGCAGGAACCAGTAGATTCGAGTTCTGAGCTGGCCACCCTTGTAGAAACATGTGGTACTGAAAAGGTCGCGACAAGAGTGAGTGAGTGAGTGAGTTGGGTTTCAGCAATATTCCATCAATATCACGGCGGGATACACCAGAAATGGGCTTCACACATGTACCCATGTGGGGAATCGAACCTGGTCCTTCGGCGTGACAAGCGAATGCTTTAACCACTGGGCTATCCCACCGCCCAGTCTCTACTTGAAGAAGTAAAACATGCTCACAAGGTTCAGTACTGATGATGTTTGCTTTGTTGTTTTTCGCCGTATTTGGCTAAATTCCAATAATATGACGGAGGACTTGGACACATCAGTGACTGATATTGTGACAACGCTCATATCAAATATTAGAATCAATGTAGTACGCAGAATTTATACAATTACATACTTTTAGATATTAATACTAAACTGTTAATCAAAATATTGTTTTGTGTAAATGTGACGCCGATATTAATTCACAGCATGAATCCAGTGTTTTCTTATCTAAACTATTAACAAAGGCAATAAGTGACTCAAAAGGGTTAACCGTGGATTACGTGAGGCACGCAGTCAGCATTACGAGCTGTCGAGGTATGCTTTCACGTATGTGCACTGAACCACGTGTTTTATATGGTTCCTTCCCATAACACTGCATGGGGCGACCTGGTTTCGCCCACTGAATATGAATTCCATTAGGACCGTATAGTCGACATTAATGCAGATCCTTTCTTAATCTACACCTGACGTTTATTACCATAATTAAACGCCACTCCACAGAACAATAGGGCTTTATGGGTTCTACACACATAATAAACAATCTAAGTAAACATATGGCTTTTGTTCTCCCATGGTATATTGTCATTAGGAATCTTATACCATTCATTACAACCATCACCTGTGTATTCTTTTCAGGATGACATCGTTAGAAGTCACATGCTAGTTATACAAAAACTTTATAGTTCACATTTGTACGCGTTTAAGGCTCTGCTACCCGCGGAACATGAATCCTTACGAGCAAAGACATTGGAAGAGCAATTCCCCGATGGACCTGTACATGACATGCCTTATTGTGTCACACTCATTGTCCGAATATAAATAGATAACCAGATATGCCTTAAAATAAAACGTTGATTATCTCCAGGGCCTAGATTTTCGAAGCTCTCTTAGCGCTAAGACAGTCGTAAGTGCCATTCATTAACATTAACTTACGACTATCTTTAAGAGAGCTTCGAAAATCTAGGCCCAGCACGTTATGCTCTCAGTGACACACCCATCGCTGTTATAAGTTTGGTACTCATTACGTGCGCGTTATTTATTCCCTAACATGCACCATCTGAAAGCCACCAGCTAATGAGTGCGCGTTTGGGTGTCGACCTGTTTCCATAATGTATTGCAAAGGCATTTGATCTTTTGTTAGGCTGGCCGTTGGAATAAGCTGTTTCAACAAGGCCATAATAAAGGTTCTGAACACAAAATTGCCTTTTCCCACGTCTGGAATAGATTTTCTACTTTAAAATCGTGTTCCCAATTGTTCAGGTGTCATGCAAAAACTCCGAACTGTAGTCATTGCCGATGAAGCTTTGACGCCTGTTTGACAAAGCGAGTCAATCGGCTTAAAGCTTTTTGGATCAATTTCAAACCGTCTCGACATAAGCTATTTCTCGAAATCAGAAATAATTCATGCACTTCATTCCTTCTTAATCCTGTGCATTGATTTTCAGCATCTGTGAAGTTTAAGCTTGTTTGTTCACGGACTCCGCAATATTGTAAAATATCAAATTTGTCTAAATCTTGCTAACCCTGAACTGTCCTCACCTAAACCTTTGTACACACGCTATACCACCAGGCTTAATTCACCATACCACACATTCAATCCCAGTGGAAGTTAAATCAAGTTCCTTAAATCTGGCTCCACCATTATTGGTAAAACGATAATTTGATGACTCGAACTCTGAAATATTCAGTGTTTTTGGTCTTAGTGGCAAATCGGATACAAAGTGATATCCACATCAAATTAATGGATGTTGGTTTACGAGGTAGTCAGCAATTAAAGTTCGGCAATATCACCAAGGCCAGGACACAATTGGGTTGAGAGCATGAACCCGTTGTGTGGGAAGGCACACAACCAGTCAGCCCATGTCTTGCCAAATGTATTGGGTATCGGGTTCACTATACTTGCACAGGTCTCTAAGGTAATGAATAATAGTTTATATGATAATTTGGACATGCCTCTTAAAGGATAGAATTGATATACATACATTGAACCGGTTCTCTTGACTTGAAACATGGTCCCTTAACCAACACTATGAAGTTAGACAAGACAAAAGATGTTCCTCTTGCAGGTGATAAATGCACCCTCTACAATTTGTCATCTATTTCTCAATTTTAATTATATGTTATGGCTTTCTTTTCATGTAGTGCCCACACCTACCTAGCCATGTTCAACGAACTCCAAAAGGACCACAGTGGGTTTGTGGACATCGGGCGTCTGTGGGATGTCATAAAAGATATGAAAACTGGCCAAGGCAACTCCTTAGAAGAGAAAGAGGTGGAGATGTTTATCAAGAGCACTGCTGGCCCCGAGAAGCAGATTGATCTGCCCAAGTTCATCAACCTCTTATGCCGAATAAAGATGTTCCGAGGCGGGGTAGAGCCCCACCAGTCAAGGAATCAGCAGGTGGCACACTAGACTTCTGTGACAAGTGGACATGATTTTGATTTTTGTGAAAAATGCATTCGAGGGCACGGATCTGTTAAATATCACTGATATTTTGAGGTATTTTTAAAGTGTATTGGATTTCTTTGACCGACTACATTCGAACAGTTAGTTGATTTCCTGGGAAACTATTAGTTTTATTGAGCATCAGATAGCTATGCGTTTGATTAAAGTGTAACTATATCTCACTACAAAACCATGTAGACTGTATATATGTTGTCAGTGATCAAGATGAGCTTGTCAACAACAATAACCACAATAGCCTGTACGAGATACACACCTAACCAGGGAACCAGTTCAAGATAGTGATCACGTTCTTTAGCTGCCAATTATATGTCTTGTAATGTACTTTTACTTTTTCATGTAATGGGATGGAGGTTGGGTGTCGTAACTCATACTATCAACTCGTTTTGATCTCAGGTTAAGGTGCATAATAATGCAATTTCAACTGATGCGGCAGAACACAGGCAGCATAAGATACACATTTAAAGAAATCGGTTAAATGTATTGCAGTTATGAAGAAACAGGATATGTTATGTTTGTTGCTGTTGCATATTTAACCTTCGTCATTAATATAAATAATGAAGATCGGACCAAGTGATATGTTGTATGTTTTCCAATCATTTCATATAACATGGAAGGATTCCTGACTGGTATATAACCCTTATATTGACACTTGTTCAGTGCATGTATGATACAATGTGATGCTAGTCTTTTGGTGACAGTGGCTTTAAGGTGCTGCTGCTGGGTTATCTCCCAACATAACAAACAGCACCTGGCTTGTCAATTTGATTCTGTCTCTACATATATGAAATGTTAAAGTATAACCATAGACAGAAACCTTTTCATTATTTGGTTGAACATTGGCAAACACAAATGGCAAACTGGAATGTCAAGGGAGATAACTTGTGTCACGTTGAAATCAAGTGGTTCTGGTGGTTGTAGAAACTACATTTATTTAGATTATAACCTGCAACTGAAACCAAATTAGTCTTTAATGATATACATATGCAAAAAGTTCTTCACAGAATGTTCTCTAAAATGGACACATTAAGAAACTTTCTGAATACAACAGAACAACTGATCCAGCCATCATACTTATGAAACAGGAAAACAATCATGCTCAGTTTAATGTTGACAAAGTTCCTCAGACAGAACATGGTCTGTTCTGTTTCATGTGCGAAACAGCGCTATATCTCTTAACCAATCTATAGACTAAACCAAGTCTGGTGGTTTATTTCTTGCGTAATCTATATAAATGACCAGTCTAAAAACTAGTATCGCTCGTTGCTGTGTTTGTCCTATATTTCCCAAAATGATGATGATTCCTAAATGTCGTTCGGCCATAACTAAAACTGCAAACTGGTCCAAACCGGATAATAGTTTTAAGACTGGTCATTTATATAGATTACGCAAGAAATAAACCACCAGACTTGGTTTAGTCTATAGATTGGTTAAGAGATATTGCGCTGTTTCGCATATGAAACAACAGAACATGGTCCACAAAGCCAACAGAAGCACTGTGGTGACTAAATATAACATCAATATTTCAGACTAATTTGCAGGTTCATCGGATAGGTGTTTTCTGAGAGAGAGAACTACCCATCTAATGAATTCCTGAGATCATGACTGTATTGATAATCATTTAGTATCTACCACCATCATTACTCACTTGATTGCCATGGACCAGTCACCTTTATTACAATACCATTCATTCACCACTCTCATGCTATATACATCATTGCCATATTATCATGATTATGATAACTAATCTATCATTATTACTTAATAGTTTAACAATTCAATTGTTTCTTCCATACTTACATTAAATAGGAAACACATGCATTGTGTGATGCAGTAAATTACAGGTGACATTTTCCATGACCTTTCTTATGGGGCTTATTTTGGTCATATAATCACATATTTTCTTCTGTTATAGAAACAGAACTTGTAGACTATTAGCTGCTAGAGCTTGCTGATGGAAAGGGTTACAATCTGTATTTCTCTGGGCTCTTTCCAAAAGTGTAACTGGTGCACCATTTGATAAACATGGATAAACATTTGATAAACACGGTCATTTCAGTTTATAGTCTTACGTTCAAGTGTATATATTAACATTCAACTGTGTCAGAACTATAGTCTATTGGAAAACACAATGAAGCTTGTATTGTTTCAAGATAGGTGCACTAGGTATCCAAAACAAATGAAAGTCCAACAATATGTCAACACAGCCTCACCAAAGTTCTGGTTTGCATTCCGAATGTACAATTTTTATTGATATTTCTTGTATATACTGTATGATTTACATTATTATTTACGAACTGTAGACAAACTAAAATAAAATAAAATGTATAATCATTATACCATCAGTGTTTTTGTATCTGTGGCTCAGCGAGTTTGGTTTTAATCCACTTTCAGCATGGAATCTCTGTGTGTGTGTGTGTGTGTGTGTGTGTGTGTGTGTGTGTGTGTGTGTGTTTGTGTGTTTGTATTTGTATATATTTGTTTGCTAAATGAATTCAGAATTTTGTCCAGAGGCCCAGATAAGCTGCATATCCGGGTAAAATATGCATAGAAAATTTCCAATTACGCATTGAAAAATAATTGTTGCGTACCAATTACGCATTTAAAATGTTAGATACGCAAAAAGTTTAAAACAAATGCATACGGAATATATTTATAAAAATCGCTTGCGTAATGAAAAAGACATTGATTGCTATCAAGTTGTACTGTTAGTATAGGACTAGTGTTGTACTGTCAGTATAGGATGAGTGATTTTTTATGAAATCATTTCCATTATATTTAAGTTGGTTTTGATTAGGTATGACATAAGGCAGGACATACCTGCTTAGTAAACTTACTCAGTCACATAATACTTAGGTGAGTAAAATGACTGAAATACGCACATGTTTGAAAGCAGTGGGTAACGGAAAATGAAATACCCACTCAACATTCATAATACCCACTCCAAAAAATACATTGGGTACAGTACCCACATGAGCTAAATCTTATCTGGAGCTCTGTTGTCAATGACAAGCAACTACTCTATCCACAAGGCTTGCACCACCCCATTAGAATCAACCTGAATTGTTCCAGTAATCATTTCTGAACTGTTTCTCAGTTTAATAGCTGCTCAATATACATAACACAAGCTGATACATGCAACTATATTACATATGAGGAAAATAGTATTTACACTGAGGGAAACAATATTTTTCATTAAAAGTTCTGGCAAGCATTTTCAAGCCAAAAAATAACAAACTGATAATTCTACCAAGAAGGTTCAAATTTATCATCATAATAGTCCTTAATCTGACACTCAAGCTGAAACAGGGAAATGATTTTCAGGGATTTGAAATAGTGCTTAATTTGCGTGCCACTGTACAGTAAATATTGAAATGGCACGGATAAAATAGTTTCAATGTGCCCTTGTGGGACGACGAAAACTTATAAAACGATGCTCCCCATGATTCATTTAATGGAAAATATGATAAATTTGACCAATTTGACCTATTTTTGCACCTATCGGTTGCACGCTCAACCTCACAGCTTAACATGGGTGTGGCAATTTTGAATGATAGTGCACATTGCAGGAAATCCCGTTTGGGATGATAACATAGTTAGTTTATGAGTCCAGGACAACTATTCTTGCATTCTTGATCGCGTTCAGGAAATCTGGCTATCATGTTTACAGGTTTACATAATGTTTACTGATTTATTTAACAATAAATTGAAATGACATAACATTGTGATTTTTCAAGTATAATTGGATCACCAGTCATATTACTGTCTTCTACTACTGGGTACACATGTTGTGAGAGTGAGTGAGTTTAGATCAACGCTGCATTTAGCAATATTCCAGCAATATCACAGTTGGGGACACAAGAAATGGGCTTCACACATTGTACCAATGTGGGGAATCGAACCAGGGTCTTCGGCATGACGAGCGAATGCTTCAACCACTAGGCTACCCTGCCTCCTCCATGTTGTGGGATGTGAGGCATATTTCAAACTCACTTGCCTAAGAAGACATGACACATGTTAAATGTGTTTCAGTAAGGGGCAGGACAGAAGCTTACAAGTAGTGAATCAACCAGTATAGTAATACTGCAATTGACAAATCCTAAATGAAAGACAGGGTCTGTCTTGATCAGATTACAACAGCAGATTATGGCAACCAACATAAGGAGAAAAGACCCCTTACACCGAAACCAAAGGCTGTAGACAATGACAAATGGAGTGATAGAAGGGAAGTAACTCTGTCATTTATACTACAGATGACTACACCTATCTGCATGTTATAGTGTACGTCTCTTAATAAGCAGAGTACAGAGAACAAAAAACTCCAGTTTCATGTCAGATACAACCAACAAGTATGAATGCAGCAATATTTATTCTACATCTTCATCAATCACAAATTAAATATTTCATGGCAACTACATTTTTTTTAAACTGAATATAAATGAGTTAACAAAGTTAGCATTTGTTCAACAAATAACAATAACATTTGCCAAACAAAACCTGTCCTTCCAGAAATAAGAGGACATGCATTCACTACCCTGAACACAGCTGAGCTCTGACCTCAGGTGAAGAGTGAGTAAGTGAGCGAGTATGGTTTTATGCCACTTTTAGCAATATTCCAGCAATATCACAGCAGGGGACTCCAGAAAAGCGCTTCATACATTGTATCCATGTGGGGAATTGAACCCTGGTCTTAGGCGTAATGAGCAAACGCTTTAACCACGAGGGTATCCCACTGCCTCCTCAGGTGAAGAGTTTGTCCTGGGAAGTGTGATTAAACTTCTTCAATACATACTGACAATCAGTGATTACCCAGTAACAGTTTCAATGTCTCAGTTCAATCTCATCAAACTCAGATCTGTGTTGGATCCCAGTGCACAAAGATCTGAAAATATTTGAATAGAGGCCGCATCAGAACTTGTCAATGACATGACAAACAGGAAGTTAACATTAAACACTCAGATAGCTGTTGTCTTGAGCGTTCTGCCACTGGTTTCTAAAAGATGTTTCATAAGTTCAAATCAAAATTTCCAATCGAAGAAAGAAACTTCTGGAATGTCTAACAGTTCATGGAGTTTTTCCCATGGGATTTAGAAAGTCTTTGTTTGATACATAAAGTATATTGTTGTCTGTAATGTCAACGTTTTCAAGGTTGCTTGAATAGCTACATACATTCACTGTCATAAGTGATACTCGTGACTGGTCGCACACCAGGTTGTTGTCGTAACCAGTCATTTGAAAGTCCTGAGAAATTTGTGAACCGTTATTGAGCACTAGCTCCTGATTTTACTGAAACTATGTCTATGTCTAACAATAAGCACTCGTCACAACATGTGGACCGTGTGACCAAAAGGGACCATCAAATCGTGTGACCAAAAATCTGGAGCAGTACCAAGTGACGTTCATAATAGGCAACAAACAACAAAAAAAATGGAATAATTTTTAATCCATGGTTAGTTTCAACTGTCAGATTTCACTCTTACAAATCAGCCAGAAATTCGCAGGCAATGACTTCAAATAAATTAGGAGACACCGGTAACCTTTTCTCACGTTGGAGTGTTATACTTTGGTTTTTAAGCGTTAAAACATGCTGTCGTACAGGAATTTCTACTGTTAAATTAGAGCGTGTATAAACTACACATTTTCATGTATAATAAGCGAGTATGGTCAAAATAACAGCAATTTCATTTATATTCATGGCTGCATATATCTTATACCATTTTTGTTTTGAATCACAGTTCAACTTTAGCCTTGTACAATATTCAAGTGTAAACAACCAGTTACATCTGAACTGGTTAGGAATTTCTTTTTATTGCCATGGTTCCTGTCACCTGACTCCAGAGGATGGTGATGTGTTGTCATGGATACCAAGATGCTTGTTAGTGAGAAAATCTGTTATTGCCATGTTGTTTATTGCCTTAAATACGTTGCCTGCTGATAGCTCTTCCACAGTGCTGGAACAGAGACAAATAAACACAAAATATTACGTGCATCTTTAGTATTGAAGGAAAATGATATTAGCTGAGAATATTAATGAAAAGGTCATTACACAACAGTGATCTTGATCTTTGCTTACCCATTTGATTCCAACTTTGCCACTGAAAACGTCTCTCTCAAGATGTCCTCAGCCAGTCTTGACATCACCTGCAGAGACAAATGGTAAACATGAGTTACCATGGTAACAGATAGTGCATGAGTGAGTGAGTCAGTCAGTGGGGCTTAATGCTGCCTTGGACATTATATTATGTCACCTTAATGTCGGAAGGCAATCAAAGGTGTCAGCAGGTCTCAGACAGTTATCACTCAGACAAACTTTATGGATAACATAATTCGATTATTTTGTGATTGCAATGATACAGATTAGCGAACAGTTGTCAAGCCATTTTGTATTGATAAGTCACACTCATGAAATTGAAGAAGTTGTCATACATAAAGCTTGTCAATACTTCCAACTTTAAAGTGACACTCAAAGAAATTTATCACTTAAAAGAAACCTGTTAGTATAGGCATAGTGCAGACAAACACAATGTGGGTGAACTCTGCATCAAAAACAATCACAGGCCAAAGGGAGGCAACTCTGCACAGTGATTAGATGTCAAGATCACCCATGCCCCGGTAAAAGAATGTGAAGAAATAGTCTGTTGGGGGTTAAAAATTTAATTAATCTGTTCAATAATTATGTTTAAACATGTTGATACAATATAGTAAAATTACATTTGTGTAGAATTGGGATAAGATGTCATATCAATAATTGTTTGGATTTCGGCAGCAGTGAAAATACAAATGTTGTCACTCGTGCAACTTGCTTGTTATGAATATGAGTCTATCTTATCTTACATCACATATATCCATGGAGGCCATGGAGGGAATTACACTCACAGTGTAGATGGTGTCTTCTATGAGTCTATCTTATCTTACATCAAATATATCCATGGAGGCCATGGAGGTAATTACACTCACAGTGTAGATGGTGTCTTCTATGAGTCTATCTTATCTTACATCACATATATCCATGGAGGCCATGGAGGTAATTACACTCACAGTGTAGATGGTGTCTTCTACAACACAGCCGACTACACCAGGTTCAATCTGCGCTGGATGGAACCTCACTCCAATCTGAAATACAACCAGGGGATGGCATACACAAACATACTGACTGCAGCAACACAGAGCAGAAAAATACAAACATAAGTTATCTGACACAATCTTGTGAGGGTTTTTTCGTTGCGTGTGCTAGTTTTGACAAAAACTGAAATCCCCTGCTAGAGTTTAACATGGATGCTTCATTCAGACAGTGTACTAAAATGGATCCAAACATTTTCAAATGGATGTCAGACCTTTAGTTCATGTCTGGTTCAATTCTCAAACCAAAACAACTGAGCTCCTCCCAGGAAAGCTGGCAATGTTTTGCAGAGTAAGCTGTCTTCAAACATGTTTTCAGTAACGAACTGAAGAGAGAGAGAGAGAGAGCTACAGCCAGATAACGGCAATACATCTGGACCTGACTATTGAGTTACTTATATTATTGATATACACTGTCATTGAGTTCACTGACAAGCCATCAACTAAGTCGGACCACCTGTTCCAGGAGGAATCTATGATTCATCATCAATTTTTCACTGTTGGCTACACCAAAGAAACCGTCCCACTCTTTGCCGAAGACAACTGAGCCCAGTGTCAACAACACTGCAATATACAACATGGGCAGTATACACTACCTCTTGAGCAATGTCTTGTACAAACGCAGCTTCATCACCAGAGGGAATAACATCAGTGTTGTCATGGTTACTCTCAAGTTCAACAGGCGGTTCCTCTTTTAATTTCACCCTTGGCAAATCTTGTCAGAAAAGAAAAAGATGATTTATGATTGAAATCATGGTGTTTGAGGACAAGTTCAAAGTCATCACATCAGAACAAAAAACTATTATAGTAAAGGCAGTCACGTGTGATATTAGCAACTACTTTTTCTGATTATTGTGCTTTGAAAAGTGAAAAAGCTGTTATAAAATCTGTTGTTTATCTGGAATCCACTACCTGAACATTCAGGCTATTCATAGCGCATTTAGAGTGTTGGTGCCATTACTTGAAGATTGCCATTAAAAGCAAATGCACTGCCATCGCTCCATCAACACCATGTCCTCATTATGACAGGTGTTGTGGCCACAGTGAATTGTGTTTCAAGCAGTACAGCAACATTGAAAACATTATACCTATCCCCAAACCCTGACCCCCAAAATCTGTTTTCGTTCCCTTCCCACACCAGTTTCACCTCCTTCTCACAAGCTTACAGCATACATATGAAGATGATTGATGTATTCCTCTAACTAACCTTTAGTCAGTGGGTGTACAACTTAAGTGTGAGTACTTGTTTTCAAGATATTGATGTCCTGCTATTGTGTTTAGCAAGGAAGCTGCCTCACACTGTCATTTTAGCTAAAAACACCAAACAAACCAGAAATGAATTACTTTCGGTGGACTACCAACTCACTTCCCTAGTGGCATTTACAACAAGTATGGCATTGGGGGGATCTTTTGCTCCAGAATCCCAGGTAGTATGGGTAGAACTCCCAGGGTGATATTTGAGCTTACCAACAGACACAATGTCAAGGTCACTGTCTTCACTGTCATCCGAGGGTACCATCTGTGCTAGAAGAGTGTCTGCCTTGTCAAGATATAGTTCATGGTCTGACAGACTGGTCAGTCGTCTTTTGGCTGGGCTATCAGGAGTATGTTTTTGAGACATCGACTTAGACACTGGCGGATTCGCAACACCATCAACATGTTCTGCATTTTCTGGAAAAATGTGGATTTACTTTCCTTTAACAATGTTCGTTACAACATCAAGATTGAGGCTTTATATTACAGTTAATCGTCATCAACAGAAATCAACCAAAGTAGCTGTGAACACGAGTTCAGAACATGAGAAAAGTACCTTATAATTCACTTCTAACATGTGCTCCTTATACCAAGAATGTTGTTGCTTAAGAGTATCATGATGCACAGAAACTCCAGTGAAGCTTTACAGGGTTAGGCGCGTGTAAAAACTGGCCATAAATATTCAACATATTCAGAGATGGATGGCGGATTTTGACATTTTCTTTTGCACAAAGTGGCCAAGGATGTAGTTAACATAAAGGGTGCAGTAGTATACAAGGTGTATGCTTGAGTGTTTGTGTGTGAGTGTGTACATCACTGTTGGATCTGCCCTTGTAATTAACACAATATAAAAATGTAAGGAACTTGTACCTAGATGGTGAGGGCTGAATGCATGAAGACGACACCAAGTCATGATCTGTTTTGTGGTCCAGAGTTGCTCCCCTTTGAACGAACTTTCCTCCTTCAGATGGTCTAAAATGAAGTTCCTGACAGATGCAGCTCTTTGCCACTGGAAAACATCAAGCAGCATTAGTCATATTGGGTTGGGTTTGATAAAACCATGAATACATCTTTCTATACACAAAGAGAAAACCGAAAACCTCAGCTCACAGACATTAGCAAGGCCAATGTATCAACAATCTTATCATGTCTGCCTGTTTACTTTCACTAAACTATAAATTATCATATCAACTCAAGGATCTTGGTTCGATTATGCAGGAAAAAGTGAGTTAAAAATAAAATCATCAGCACTGTTTCATCCATATAGCCACCATGAGCATGGATGGAAGAAACAAATATTGCTGCTTGTTTACAGTTCTCTGAATGAAACTATTATGACTTCACAATTATTCAGATCAATGTCAGTGAGATATGATAAATTTGATGAGATTTTGTAAAGAATTATATCAACCACCAATATCCAGACTTCATCACTTTGTGCTCAATGCTCAGAATTTGTGCCACTGCAAAGTGACGGAGGTACAATATGACTGAGCATACCTCTGATGCCCGTCTCTTGCCAACATTCCAGCCGAGCCATTCCTCTGAAGAATGTGCACAGTATGGGTGAAGACTGCGGTCTGGGGAAAAATTTAGTACAAAATAATCACTGAATAGTGGCACCAAGGCAAAGGGGAGTCACATTGGGGTAGCAGGGATTTATTCTCCTGATAAGGGTGAATTGGGTTTTAGCAATATTCCAGCAATATCAGACACCTGACACCAGAAAAGGGCTTCACACATTGTACCCATGTTCTGAATCGAACCAGGGTCTTCAGCGTTAACCACTAGGTTACCCCATCGCACCTCACCTTAGAAATCTACGTGCAGGTTGTTTTCTCTTTTCTTCATGTATAGGTATAAGGATTTATTCACCTGCTTAAAAATCTAATTTCCTCACAGTCAAGATACAAGCTATTTCATGAAAATCACATGACTGAATCAGATCACAACATTCTGATGCGGAGGTAAGATAAAACCATTTATAACAGTTGTGTGATACAGTGAGAGTTCCTTGGATGATTTTGAAAATAGATCTATGACAAACTCAAATTCAACAAATGCAAAAGAGGTAGTTTTATTTGATGTTGATTACAACCTCATGAGCAAGAGAAATCATGTGTAATGTTTGTTCTAAAACAGACGGAGTTGGTGCTTCCAAAACAGAGCCAGGCAAATGGTTCAAACATACTGATTGTAATAGAAGATACAATTCCCTGGACAATCATGGATGCAGATAACAGAATGGAAATGGCATCGTCATGCCAACCATAAACGATAAAACAACACATTAAACACAGGAAATTCTGAGAAGAAATATCATGTTTTATGAATCCCTTACCTACAACTTCATTGACAACAGGATGTCTTCGAACTGCAGCTCGGATAATTGATAACAGATCTGGATAGTCCACTAATCTGCAGTTGAATATGTGATGTAACGAAGCAATCATGGTACATGGAATACTGTTTTAAGCTATATTCAGCAATATTTCACCTATATCACAGTCTGTAACTGATCATTACGTCAGAAAAGCGAGTGAGTGAAGTTTTACACTGCTTTTAGCAATATTACAGCAATATCACAATGGCAGACACCAGAAATGGGCTTCAGACATTGTACCCATGTGGGGAATCAAACACGGGTCTTTGGTGTGAAAAGCAAACACTTTAACCACTAGGCTACCCCACTGCCCTGTATAAGATTAAATGTACAAGCCTCTGTCTACTGTCACTGAGGCACACTATCCAATATATTGATCAGTGGTAACAACTGTCACTTTGTCATACAAAGTTACAAAGATCAATATTTTTAATGAGTGAACAAAATGAGTAAAAACTAAATATTTTTATAGATTGGTATACTTATCCTGCACTACTTACTTCCTGCACTTATTGCTTACGGCTCGAAAAGTTTGGCTTGCCAGATGATGTTCAAAGACATAGAGCTGCAATCACTTCCTGGTCTTGACTGCTACACGTCTGCGCATGTGTCACCGGAAGGTGACGTCAGCCACCTCAGATTATTGCCAGAAGTCCCACAGATGGCAAACAAAGAGGTAGCTGATAGTGCAGGGTGGGCCCTTATCCTAAGTAGTGCAGGATAAGGATACAAATATAAAAAATACTTAAGATTTTACTAAATTTTTAACTTATCCTGCACTACTTACTTCCTGCACTTTTATCCGACAGGCTGGAAGGTGGGCGTGCCATTTGAAGGATCGCCTCGCTTATATAATAGCAGCCAGCTCAATCTGTAAATCCCATGCTCGGTAAGCGTTGGTAATGCGCCTAGAACAGAGAGCGAATCAGCGAGTGATGATCAGGCAGTGGTAATTTGCAAATAAGACCGAGTCATTAATGAAAAGAACCACTAATTTTAAAGCTGGCGAAGCTTAAGGAATGCAGTAAAAAGCATGGACTTGAAACACAAGTATAACTCCTTAACTGACATACCTAGTTGTTTCAGAAGAAAACAACTCATTCCCCACATGGTGGTCCGTGGGAGGGTCACTTTCTTCGGGGGATGGCAAGTTGTTGAGCAACCACCAATGGTCCGAAGCTGTGGACATCGTTAACATCCTTGACAGCCATGTCACGCAAATAATGACTGGCAAAACCTGTGTCCGACCTCCAGAAACAACCTTTCATAATGGATGACACAGTACAATTACTGTCAAGCGCCATAGTCGAATCAAGCGCTCGTCGAATCTCGTGTGGATGAGAGGATATAGGAGGGTCCAGCCCAGCCGTTTTATATGCTTGAAGAATCGTCATTCTCAACCATAAGGCAATTGTGTTTTTGCTGACATCTGATTGTGACGCCCGGGATAGGGGAAGAAATAACTGTTTCGTGTACCACAGACGCAGTCAATGGTCTAAAACTGAGCTAATTGCCGCCAAATACGTGGCAATGGTGACTCCCTTTAGACGCCTGGACATTCGGAGATAAAGTAGGAAATCTGCTATGAATTGAGGCGACGCTTTCAGCAGATCCTGCTTCCTGGTACCACAAAATCGTTCAAACGACTGCCACTTGTCGTCGTACAAGTGTCTAGTAGAAGTTCTGTGCGCCGTCGCAATGGCTTTGGCTGCTCTGACTGAAAACCCCTTAGCATTCAGTGCTTTCTGGTCCATGCGTGCAGATTGAACCGATCTGGAGCAGGATGCGGAAGACGGCTGTGAGGGTGCATGAGAACGTTCCTCCACATAGAGGAAAGGGATCTCATACCACTTTTTAGAACGGGAAACCATTTCCTGGCTGGCCACCAAGGCGCGACCAAAATCAGTCGAAGGCAAGTCGTCCCTTGACTTTTGCGAGAACTTTGGGTAGTAGAACCAGCGGTGGAAAAGCATACGCGTGAAGCCCCTCCCACGATAGGCTGAGACCATCCATCGCCCAAGCCTCTGGATCCGGGACTCGGGACACATACACTGGCAGTTGATGGTTTTGACTGGTGGCAAACAGATCTATGTTTGAAGAACTCAGAGCGTGACTCAGGAGAGAGAAGGCCTCCTTGTGTAGCATCCATTCCGTGGGAGCAACTCTGTCGGGTCTCAAGAGAGCGTCTGCTAGTATGTTTCGGCACCCCGGAATATGCAGAACTCTCAACAGAATGTGGAGATCGTCGACCAGTTGAAAGGGACGAAAAGTCTGATCGGGGAACTATGAGCGTGTCGACCCTTGCTTCCGGATGTACCATACCACCGCGGTGTTGTCTGTGGCCACCAGAAGACAAGTTCCTCGTAGTCGATGCGCCCAGTGATGGATAGCGAGGATCACAGCCTCCAACTCCAGACTGTTTATGTGCCAGCTTTGGTGTTGACCCGACCAAAGGCCGCAGCCGTCTGATCGTGTAAGTGAGCGCCCCAACCCTGCATGGAGGCATCTACAAACAGTTGGTAATCTGGTGGCCTGATGCGCTTTGTAAAACAGATTCCGATTGGTCAATCGAAAATTCTTTCTTATTTTGCGAAAAAAGCAAAAACCTTGTCATGATGACGATACAGAAAGCACAACCAACAGCGACGATGATAACCAAAAAGAGGATGGGTCTGAGGAGAAATGCCAGGGCGATGTATCATGCCCACGTGTTTTTCAAAATACGTGGTTGCAGCTTTACCCATGGGTATCATTCGAAAAAAGAGTCAAATCGCATGCTATGTACGGTGTGTATTACCCATCACAAAAATAATGTGTTTACAGAGAATGGCACAGACAATTATCGGACCAGTAAGTGAACTCAAATTAGTAACTAATTAGTACTGTATGTCTAACAAGTCATAGCAATTTGACATGACTCACACTATTTTCTAAATGGCCCACATAACTGAGGGCTGGTGGGCCATGGGCCGACTTTTTATCAAGGCTAAAATGAACACTGAATGAAGATACCAGGAAATAGGAGTTGTGATATGTGTGAACAACCACAGGGCCGTTGAAATTCCAACTGGGAGGACAGCCCATTGGAAATGTTGAATGTTGAAATAAAATCGCAGGTACTTCCTGTCGCTGGGGCGTATTGGAACATGGAGGTATGCATCCTGCAAGTATGCATCCTGAGGAAGTCGTAGACGCATACCATGGATTTGAGGTATTCAAGGGACGTCATTCAGAAGTGCGGAGGACGTTCCAGGAAAGTCTCGTTGAAATAGGACAGATTGTGATTCATCCTCATTTTCGTGGACCCTTTCTTTGGCACTAAGAATATTGGAGAATAAAGAATAACTATAGAGAAATAAGAATAGCTATGTTCTCCGCTAAGAGGTGGTGTTGAATCTGGGAGTGATTGTGCCGTTGCGGGAACAGCATCAGAGGTGGATCAGAGAGGAGGGGGAGCCGAAACCCCTGCCTCAATATATCGGTGACGTATGGATCCTCTAGGATGGACCAATTTTCTCAGAAAATCCCTATTCTCCCACCTACTGGTGTAGGATAAACTGGGACGACTGGAGGTGGGAGTGTCCAGTCGTGCATGTCCCTCACTTTACTTGCCTCTACGACCATCGCCCTAGGCGGGAGCACGGCAACATTTATATCCTCCCCTGTCTGATCTAGACTTGGCACCACGTCCCCTGCCACAAGACGGCGCTGGATTTCTGGCACGCCAAACAGACGGTCGGCGGGGTTGGTAGGTGTTGGATGGCATGGAGGAAGGGTGTTGCCCCTTTTGAAAAGCTTTCACAGCTGTCTCCCCTTTGGCAAATTCACACACCTCCCGATAAATGTCATGAATTGCGTTGTTAAACAGTGTCGACGACGACCAGGGTTGGTTGAATACTTCGGTTGAAACTCCGAATCCGATGAAGAAAAGGAGAGGAAGCCTTGCCAACGAATGCCGCATGCGTTGGCAAGCGCTGACCGAAGGTGCTCACGAAGGTCAGTGAGCACCTTGACCTGCCACATCATCATAGTTGAGAGATGATCCAGTCGATCAGGATTTTCTTCCTTAAGGTCCTGAGTAATGGCATCAGTCGCTGACGCCAATGCCGATATAGGGCGGAGCATACGCTTAAGTTCCAAGTCCAAAGCAGCTACCCTTGTGTCCTGAACTTTATAGGAGGGGACAGAGGAAGAGCCTGTCACACGTTTTATCTCCTCATCCATCTTAGTCACTGTCTGGGCAAAGTCCAAGCCATGAATAGGATAGTCATCAAGTCGGACTCTAGGCGCGTTAATAGTTGGGTTGAGAGACATCCCCGCGAAAATCTTCATTAAGTGTAGATAAAATCTCCCTGACTGCCTCATGTGTCGGTAACATTAAGGAAGGCGAGTCCCAAATAGTAAGCGACTTTGCAACATCAGGTTGCGGTGAAGGGTCTGCATCATAGACGCCTGAGGCATTGGAAAACCTGTAGACGGTTGATATGCATAAGGCGCCTGCCCCGGGAACACTGAAAAGGACTGCGAAACAGGAGCCTGGGGTGCCTGACACGGCGCAAACTCTTGACCCATCGGCCGTTGCGGTGATAACATCGGCAACAACGTAGGAGGCGAAGGAGCGCCAGGTGCCGAAGTTCCAAGCATCAAAGCGCCAAACGCTGTAACGCACGGTGACATAAGAGGCGAGGTCATCATCTGGATGCTGGTGACAGACGCACTCGGAGAAACAGTGGAAGCTGTGGACTGGATGTAGATGTAGCGGTCATCAAGACCGGCGTCGAGGTAACACTACCTGCAGTAGAAGACATATTCTTCCATCGCTGTTGCCCCAGGCGCTTCCTAGAAACCTGGAGATAAATGGAGAAACTCTTGGGTGAAAGAACAGCACAGCTGGCACATTTATGGCCAAGGGGAACATTGATTGGTACAATTCAAACATAGGGGATGAGGGTCTTTACGAGACTTCCCACCCTTACAATGTATACAACTTGCGCTGTACATGGATCTGCAATGAAGCAGAAAACCCAGTGAACGCACATAAAACATTACATACAATGGTAATGAATACAACAGCATAATTGAGAACAACGTCTCAAAGAACTGAATGATAAAGAGACCATAATACAGACATAATAAAATATACCACTACTGTATGGTATAGTATATAAGCCTGAACCAAATAAAACACAACTACAAATACGGCGAAGTGTTGAAATGGTGAAGTAATAGAGTGATGACGGGACCGTGCATAAACGAACGACATCACTCAACAGAACTACTTAACTAAAATAATAAGAGAAAGTGAAAGATAATACCTACACTTCTCACAGAAGAAAAAGAAAATAATACACACAAAGTCAGTTTATTAACCACACACAAAAAATCCCATAGGAAACAATGAACAGCTGGCAACCCACACGTCTAGCGAGGCGTGCGAAAAGCAATAATCTGAGGTGGCTGACGTCACCTTCCAGTGACGCATGCGCAGACGAGTAGCAGCCAAGACCAGGAAGTGATTGCAGTTCTACGTCTTTTAACATCATCTGGCAAGCCACGCTTTTCGAGCGATAAGCAATAAGTGCAGGAAGTAAGTAGTGCAGGATTAGTTAAAAATTAACCATTGTCGCCACTTTCTCTCAAATGGTAGAAGTGAAAATATTCTTAAGGCATTGCTGTAAAATAACAGCCAGTGAGTTGGTTTAAATGCCACTTAGTATTCCTGTTACAACAGTGTATCAGGTAAAAGGGGAATAAAAGCAGTAAGTGATGCAGGTCTCAGACATATACCACTCAGGTGAAACCTACGAGCATTGCATGATGCTGACAAACCTAGAAATATGATTAGGGCAAAGCAGAATTCAAACCCATAATCATAGGACTTTTGGGTGCCAAAGGGACAAAACTCTGTACAGTGAAATGCAGTTCCTGACAAGAGGACAACCCATCCTCACTATGAATATTTCAACATATGAAAGAAGCATCCTTACCTCAAAGGCAGGATTTCTTCACTAAATCCAGCCAAATCTCTAATTTTCTTCTTCCACACATGAATCTTCTTCTCAGGGTCGAAATTTGAGCACTGTTTTTGACTGGCTGAATTTGTGGCATCTTGTTTCTGGTGAGCTGGTTGCATGCTAAAGGGAGATGATCCGAAAGAGAATGTAAGAGATTTCTGTCCTATTTGTTGTGGGAGTGTTGTGGGATTTGTCAAGGTTGTTGTGAGAAGTGACTTTTGTGGCTGGCCTAATACAGTGGGAGTTTTGGCAATCCCTGAGGACTGACTGGTTTGCTGTGTACAAGATGGCTGATTTGGCACAAGGAGAACCTGATTATCTGCCCCTGGTACGACCTTCAACAAAATCTGTTTGTCACCAATATTTGCTAAAACAAGTGACTGGTTTGATTTGGTATCTGAGCGAGGTGGAGGCATTTTAGAAGTTAGATTTGGCACAGTCTGGTTGGATAGTTTGAGATTTGGATGAGATTTGGACAATGAGTTCACAGATGTATTGGAGGGTTTCAGTACACCAGGCTTGACTCCACCAGTCCCCTTCTGTTGAAGTACAGAGTTTGTATTGGGTGTGAAGGAACCAGCGTTAAGTAGAGACTTCAGTTTAGGTTTCCCACCAGCTTCAGACCCTTGAAGAATATGAGTTGGCTTGGCAACTGACGTGGAACTCGGCTCACTCTCAGACGGAACCAGTTTTAACCCTGTTGGTGTGACCTTCAGGACAAGGTTTGTAGTCTTTGTGGAAGGAGATGCACTAGGCTGAGGTATAGACACTGACCCTGATGTCTTAGGAGTTGAGGTAGGTGTAGCAGGTGACTTGTTCAAGGCACTGGGGTCGGGCTGCTGTGTGCCAGCTCCGTGTGGGGTGCCCAGCTTGTAGGGAAGCAGCAGGAGGTGACCTTGCTGGTCCTTACATCGCATGTACATAACACCAGGCTGTGGAGTCAGCTCGGCCGAGGTAGGAGACACTGTGGAATGTTTATCTTCTTGCTTAGGACTTGTGATAATGTCACTATGTAAAACACTCTTAGTTTTTAGATGAATGACTTTGGGAGTACTGTTTGTTGTTATATTGCATTTGGGTGCCATAGAGGCTTTACCATTGACTTTGGGTGGACTATTCATATCTTGAGCACCATTTTGAATACAACTGTCCTTGTTTCCATTTGTATTGCCCACTTCAGTCTTTACCGAGTTAGATTTGACACTGTTCTCTGTATCAACTTCCATTGAAACTTCTGTCCTCTGCCTAACATCTGCACTGAACACACTATCATCAGGCCGATTTTCAATCGTCGTATTCACATTGTCACTGAAGTCATCTGATACTTGTTTGCTATGCAGACGGCCTGAGTCAGACGACAACGGCAGAGGAACTTCATTCTGTGATGTCTCTCGCTCCAACTCAATCTCCACAATCTGTAATACATTACTCAAATTTAACTCTTAAGTATCTGAATGTATAATACTCAAACAGACTGATTGAGTTTGGTTTTATGCCGCTTTTAGCAATATTCCAGCAACATCAAGGCGGGGGACACCAGAAATGGGCTTCACACATTGTACCCATGTGGGGATTCGAACCCGGGCCTTCAGCGTGACGAGCCAATGCTTTAACCACTAGGCTACCCCACCGCCCCTGTATAATACTTAAAAGAAATGAAAGAACACCTATTCTTTAAATTGACAATCGTTAATCTGTCATATCAAAGAATAGGGTACTCTTTAACTTCGCTTGATTTGTTTATATCAAAGCAACCTGAAAGGAATATCCCACTCAGACACATAACACTGACTCCGAGCCGACCAGTCCTTGTTTTACCCATTAATGCCGAGCACCAGGCAGGGAACAAGAAGTACCATATTTTAATGTCTTTAGGTATGACGCGGCCGGGTGTAGTACCTGCGACCTTCCACTCTATGGGCAGACACTCTAACCACTACACCATGAAGGCAGTGAAGTTCAGGAAGTGTACTCACAGTTTCAGCACCAAGCGTCTGTAGACCAGTGCAGGTTTTGTCCAGCTGAAACAAAATGGTTAAGTTAATTTGTCAAACCTAACTGATATTAGTAATCACCATTCCTTAGTTTGTTTGATGTTTCCTGCCACACATGATATGACAGCTTTCTGTAAGCAACCAAGTCAGGATTAGACAAACCAGTGGCTGACATTGTCAGTACTGACCTACCGGGAGATGATGACATACAGCATCAAAGTCAGTGAATTTCGGCCACCTCATCCAGTCAGCCACCTCATACTTCAAGTGTAGTTTCCTCTTACAACAAGCATGGGCTGCTGAGGATCAAATGTAAAGCAGGATCTCCAAAGATCCAGAGCTGTTTGGTAGTTTTCCTGACTCTTTATTCACAATATCTAACAGAATGTACAAGTACTAAACTGGCGAAATTGACTGTTCAAAGCACAGGAAATAAAGAATCTTGTATAAAGACAAATACAAGCAAATGTCTAGAGAGAGTTTTGTTCAGAATCTGCTGCAGCTACATCCCAGACTATGACATCTTCCGGTGTCACAACAGTGGGTGTATTACCTTCAGGTTGTGGATAACATCGACCCGCTTGTTTCGTGGGTCCAGGAAGTGAAGTTGGACACGGACCGGGAACTCCCCCCAACCTCTGCGAGTTAAGTGGTATGGGGGTTGTCTGTAAGGAGAGGGCAACCCATGAACCACAGAAAGGTCTTGAACCAGAACCAGGTGTTGATTTCATAACACAACTTTGGACAATGCATAGACTTGTTAATCAAATCAATAACACCAAAATTTGTTACGGAAAAGGTGAAAACTGGGCTTTTCAAGTCAGTTAACTCTCTTCCCTTGGGAAAATGCTCATGAGGTGGAAATGTTTAGGATTTTAAGTAATATGATTGAAGTGAAGGAGTGAGTGAGTGAATATAGTTTTACGCCGTTTTAGCAATATTCCAGCAAAATCAGGGCGGGGTACACCAGAAATGGGCTTCACACATTGTGCCCATGTGGGGAATCGAACCCGGGTCTTCGGCGTGACGAGCCGACGCTTTAACCACTAGGCTACCCCACTGCCCCCTTGAAGTGAAGGAGGAAAGTGCAATGTGTTGGCTCAGGATGAAAAAATAATTCAGTTCATTCTAGTTCTGCCAGTACTTTAGTGCCACTGTCAATAGGTTTTACTCTGATTTTATTCATATAATGAGAATTTTGTGTGAAATATATGCAAAAGTCACAACAAGACAACTCACGTTATTTCCACAAGATCATTTGGCTTGTAGCTGGGATGCAGGAAGAACCACACCTTCTTCACAAAGGTGTCAATGTTTGGTTTGTCCTTTGGTCCGCGTACATACACCATCCACTTGTGAGTTGACTGGTCATTGACCTCCCTACGCTCCAGGGGTATGAATCTGAACACATGACACATGTTAACCAAGTGAAAGTATATCCCGGACAACCACTACTATAACTACACCAACAGTTATCTCAGAAGCAAACATAAGGGTATCAGCTAGCACAGAGAGTGAAGGACTAGTGTAAACTTTATTTCTTTAATCTGAACCAAACAGGGATTTAAACCCAACTTCTTGGCTTAGCAAAATGTACAGTATCTCAGGTAAGTTATGTGTAAAAAATCAGGGAAGAAGAATTTTATAAGTATGTATCAAACGATTTACTTTGAGATATTTCCAACAATGATTTTCTTTTTGATCTTGAAGCGTGCACCCCTGGTATCCACGATCTTGTCAGGGGAAAGAATTATAGATGGTGGAGCAGACTCCAGTGGCTGCAACAAAACACTAGGCTAAACACATGCCTGAACAATGCAAGCAAATATCAATATGTTTTCTGGCCTATTACATCATCCATTCTAGAGATGTTATGATGAAAGTCAAATATGGAGACTACTTTTGATTCTGTCTTGTTTTGAGTTCAAAATGGAAGAAATATTTTCAAAACTTTACTGTTTTTGGAAAACTGGTGGCCATCTTGGATTTTGGAAGCACTCATATTTTGCTACATAGCATGGACAATATCTTAATTAACACACTGAGACACAAATACGTTGAAAATCTGAGAGAAATTCTGTTTTTAGGAGCTGAAACAAAGATAGTGTAATGTAACTGGCGGACATCTTGAAAAATGGTGGTCATCTTGGAATTTTGAGTGGCCAACGTTATTTTTTCAGTAAGTGTACCAAAGTGAACATGCATGCAAATTTTGTTGCTTGTATCACAAAGTGAACGATTTTTCCATTATCTGCCCTACTAAAGAGCACACCTTAACAGATGAGGATCCATCAGTGGCTGAAGGTGTTTTCTCACTCTCCATGAGATGATCCTGGGGCCAGACATCAGATCCTGTTTCAAACTCCCCATCATGGGCTGTGTTGCTGGTGACTGTAGCCGGGGCCTTCCCAAGCCTGGTCTTCACTGTAGGATGGATAGACGGGGGCTGGCATTTGTCCTGTACAAAATGACAAATGGGAGCAGTGTCGCCAGGTTGCAAGCAAGACCCACAAGCTGTGGATGCTTTTTCATATAAAAAATATGCAGCTTATTGTGAAAATGAATTTACAAATAAGTTTACAGAAGGCCATAAGGACCACTATAGATTTGAAACAACCTGCCCTACACAATATTTACCAGCCATGGACCTCCGGCAGGTGCCTATTCGAACACTACCGGGGAGTTTACCCTGACATCAGAGTGAGTGAGGTGAATAAAGCACTAAACCCGTGAAGATCTGTGTTACTATTGGTCTTCAGCAACTCATGCTTGTCGTAAGAGCCCACTAACAGGATTCTGTGGCCAGGCTGTTGATCACTGGATTGTCTGGTCCAGATTATTTACTGACTGCCGCCATATATCTGGAATACTGCTCAGCACGGCGTTAAACAACAACCAACCAACGAGTAACGCACTCTGTCATTACTTTTCAATTCATTCATCAGCCAGTTCTACATGTCAGTCAGAAACTGCAACCTTCATATTGTAGATCACATTTCAGTGTCAAACATTCTCAAAGAAGTGAACTGTTGGATTAGAAGTGAATTCATACTTACAGGTTAACATCAAAACTCTTTACCCTTTCAACCACATGAACATGATGAATGAACTCCTTGTCAGTTACAAATCCTAGTTGTTCTCATCCAACTTCCATCTTTTGACCTGCTCTTTCAGTGGATCATGGAACCCCTTAACATAATTGCTAACAGTGAATCATTTTCCCACATCTAAGTAATAACCAAGTCATTATATAAACCCCATATCCAGCTACCTTGGTTCCTGGGATTGATGTGGAGTAGTGACAGGCCACAATGCAGGCTCGCAGTCTGTCTACAACTAGGCGGGACTGGTTCAGTTGCTGAAACACAGACAGACAACCTGTGACAGTTGTGTTCCCTATCATGCAAATATTCAGGTCATGTGATCACATGTAAACAGTCTCATTGTGTCAACAGTTTTGCTCAATATTCGACTGACAACACTATGAGTGTCAATAAGCATGAGCCCTCTGACCTACCTGATCTGCAACACTGATCTCCGCCTCCTTGTGTCGAATCTCAGCCTCAAACTGGGCCTTAATGATGCTCTCAATCTTCTTAATGGTGGCTTCCTTGGCTATAATAGAAAGCAACACAAAAACATAATTTTCATTGTGAGTATAAGATATTCAACTAAAATTGCATGTGGTAATTACTTCCAACCCAGTAATTACTTATATCAACTCAGTTTTGCATATATTAATACAGTTTGTGACCAACACTAAATATGACCCATTTCTTCATATTTGAAAGAATTCTGGAGGCCAGTGAATAATGCTGGAGCAATGCTGATCTCAGTATCTTTATTAAATTCATACCTTTACTCAGAGATGACCCCTGCCTGAGTGAGGACCTGAGAGCACCTCAAAAGACTGAGGGGGCTGTAGGGAAGCTTAAGTGGTTGATGATGATTTTAGAGGGGGGTTCCCACCCATTTTGTTCTTTGAAGGTAGGTCATCAATTGTGTGCTCATGTACCAGGGGATATGCTTAAAAATTAAGGGAAGGGGGAGGGAGAGTCATTGATTTTGTACATGACATGCAGGGGGCTAACTTACTTTCAACATAAATTTTAGTGTGTGTGTATGTGCATGCGTGTCATTCACATTGTACATGTTTCTCCATAAAAATCATCTTCACCCCCTGTCTAGCCATAAATTATGAACGGTCCCTTAAAGCATTTGTTCATCACGCTGAAGACCCTGGTTCAATTCCCCACATTGGTATAATGTGTGAAGCCCATTTCTGGTGTTTCCCCACTGTGATATTGCTGGAATATTGCTAAGAGCGGCGTAAAACTAAGACTGAGCCAACAACTGTGAGGCTTTTAACATGCATAAATGCTCATGAACGAGCTAATCATTCAGACAAGCATATCAAATCACTGCACCTTAGAAAGAAAGTTAATCAGACTATTCCCAGAGTAAATGATACAGGCTGAAGCTTTATTATATTGAACATTTCATACCCCTGGTAATTTCTGAGTAGCACACAAAAGTGTGTACCATCAAAGTAACATTTGTGCTTTGTTTGATAAAACTGGTTAATAAAAACACCTTCTTCAGCATAAGCAGAGTTAGTTATACCCTATCACTAGGATCTCACCATCTTCCTCCAACACTCTTTGTCGCTTAGCCTGCTGGTCTGTGACATCTTCGTAATCCGGGTCAATGTCGATGTGAGACCGCTTGTTACTCATTATTGTTCTCAGCTCACTCAGGGCAGTTGCACCTTTCTTTCAGCAACATTGTCACAATTACCAGGCTGAAAAGTAACACATCACTTTTAAGTCACTATGTACTTATGATTCCATAAAATATTAAAAACATGGCTTGACAATTTTACTACCATAAAGTGTTTTCACCATAATAATAAATACATAAAACGTTTATGGTTTACACTTTCCCCTACATGACAGAAATATTTTTGATGCCACATTGTATTTCAATGCAATCACTTTTAACTTATAGATACCATTTTAGAATTATTTGTCTAAAATGTGGTCAAGAAAACTATGAAACAGAAATATAGTGCGAAAATGAAAGGTATTATTACAGCGGGAAATGACTAAAGCCTCTAGCTGTTTGAACGAAAATGCAATAATTGTATATATCATGCTAAATATTTCATAGATGTGAAACAATGTAGCACGTCAAATCAGAAAGGAAGTGAATATTGTACGTTTTTCCTCGAGAAGTTGGTCCGGTGGTACCGAATAAGATGTTTATATGTTCATATACATTAGTGTATTAGTTAACTGAAAATTACACTTTTGAAACAGATTTTAAATCTTAATACATAATAGCTTTTATGTTGGTTACAGTTTGTTCAAAATATATATTTACACACATCGTTGGAGTCTGTAAACATGGTAAACACGAGTTCTTGATTATTTGGAAAACGTATGGATCTTTACCACCAGCTTGTCTCTGTCGAATGATTCAAATCTGAAACATATGCGTTAAGAGACAAGTAACGTTCAGTTAAGAATACTGTCGGTTAGATGGCAAGGGTGGTGGGGGCGTCAGTGCTCTTCCGTGGTACTATGAAATCACTTGAGCACCTGTTCGTGGGTGCCGCCATTTTGTGAAAATTAATCCACTTTGAAAATTAGAGTTATCTCCCCTATCCCACATATTTGTGTCAGTTTGTGCGACAATAACGTCTGTCAGTTATCCATACAAAAAGTTAGCTATCTCACTTACTCAGTGCACCACTGATAAGTACTGTTTGTAATTGTTGTTCATGCACCAAAATTGGGAATATTAATCAAATTAATTTCTTCTTAATGGTTAATATTTAATGATTTGATATTTCGTTTTGAAATGGTAGAATATTTGTGAACTATATCTGTTTGCCAGTGCACAAAGCCTCTTTGAAGTAAAGTGAGTGAGTGAGTTTAGTTATACGCCGCTTTTAGCAATATTCCAGCAATATCAAGGCGGGGGACACAAGAAATGGGTTTTGAAGTAAAGGCGTAGAGGTGTTGGTTATCTTTTTTCTTCATATTACACGGATAGTTTATCTTTGATGATGCTTAAAGAACTTGTGAAATGTTAGTTCAAACAGTGCATATTAATAAAGATATACTTGAAATAATATAGAAGGTCGTGTAGTTTCATAGCTATTCGACTAACTCATGGCACATATCTGTATGAAATGGCTCGTTGAACATCGCCGTTTTCATGGACGATTGCACACTGGTTCGTCTGGTCTCGATTTGATTATTTAGATCCTGATATTGTTCACTGCAGGGCAAAACACCATCCACCAACCCCTTGCATCTCTTTATCAAATTGTTCACTGAAAATAACCCCAAAAATATTAAATGTATTTGTACTGTAATTAGAACTCATGCCAATAATGGTTGTCACCCCCTTCATTTTTTTTAATTGGAGAGGGGTTGTGGGGTGGGTGTGTGAGGTGTGTGTGGGGTTGGGGTGGGGAGGTGGGTGACAACCATTATTGGCATGAGTATATTTTAGACGTCAATTATTTCTGTGATTTTATGATAGTGTCTTATAAGCCCCAAACTGGCTGCATGGTTGTTAAGATTTTTTACTTACGCTATAATCATGATTTTATACTGCATTCTTAACTTGTGACACGTTAAGAAACTATTTCTGTCTGTCTGTCTGCCATATACACAAGTTAATAATACACTGGATCACTGATGACAACGGGACGATAACTGTATCTAACGCCGCAACATAACACAGTGACTTGTCCCCCAAAAGGCAGTGCGAGCTTTTGTTATCGTCACTGACAGTAGTGCTTAGACATTTTGTACGATCCTACGTCTCGTCCGAACCACAGTAATCAAAGTCACACTGTGTTGTCATGATTATACAATTAATAACACCAGACACCTGTTGGGTGTATGGTTGATTGATAAACCAACCCGTGGTGATTACTTAGTGGATTATTTATGCTCTGGATCCACTGATCGATTTACATCTTCAGAAGGGCGTCGGACCGGGTAGCCGCAATAATAAAAGTGTGTGTTCCAGCGCGCAGAACTTCCGGTCCTGAGCCAGAAGAAGAATGTGTCCAAAGCCTCAAGTTATGCTCTCATTTTCTCAGGCTAAAGATGTTTGTGTGAATATGTGGAGTATTTTAAGGAATACCAATTTGTTACCTTTGTATGACACAGAACAGAACGTTTAGTGCTTTCAGACTGATATCAAAGACTTTTGATGGTGACGGAACATTAAGGCTAACACATGATTTTGCATGAATCAACACATAATTGCGTACCGTTGATGATATTATCCCAAAATGTCTCATATTATCATTAGAGAACACTGTCAGCTTCGGAACTGACAAAACTGACATCCACAACAATGTATTGGATCTTGTCTTTTTCTGTCTTTATATTTGCGAAAATAAATAACAGATATTTACAGAAATACGCAAAGAGGTATCGACAGAACACGTGGGCGGTGTATTGTAGGTGCGACCACGATAGACGACCAGGGTGTGTCGCAAAAACATCAATGCTAAAGATAGCTCAATCAATAATCGGCTATTCCCCCACCATTTGTCGAACATTCGTTTTCACGGCCTGGCATGTGCTGCTATCTGGTGAGGCTTTGCTGCTGGGGGTAGTCAGGGGCTTTCAATGGCATTTAGACGTGATGCACATAAGCAGCCTGAAGTTAGCAGCCGGTTCGTGTTTCGTTATTCGTCTTTCGAATAAGGAATAACGTGCTAGCAGCGGGTTCGTTATTCAAACGCTTTAAATGGAATATCTATAGTAGAGCTGTCACATATATACACTGAAACTGGGTTCCATTCATAGGTGTACCAAATGAGAACGAGGTGTTTAATTATTCAAAACTTCTGAATAACGAAACACAAATCAGCACTGGGTTCGTTATTCCCTGTATGCCCATCAATTCTATAAAATGCAAAATAAATATAGCCTACCATATTTCCAGAGGGTTCGTGTTTCGTTATTCGTCTTTCGAATAACGAATAACGTTCTAGCAGCGGGTTCGTTATTCAAACGCTCTACATGGAATATCTATAGCAGTGCTGTCATATATATACATTGACACTCATGTAATAAGAGAGTGCGGGTTCCATTCACAGGTGAATGGCCAACTTGAGCATGCTGTCTACATTTTAAAATACTGACCCTGCCTTATTGTGTGTTAACAGACAATGTGTAACAATGTGTCTATGCTTTCATGAATTACACAACTGGTCAGGTGATGGTGACACGAGAGCTGAAGTAGGATATCTCATTGCCCTCCGAACTGACAATGTCTACTGCTAGTTCACTGAATGTGTTAGTGTTTGCTGGAAACTGTGATCGTAGTCTCACAACTGGAATTGATGCAATGATTTTATTTATCTAGACACCTAGACAACCACTTCCCAAATAGTAAATCTTGGTTTTCTTACTGGACAATTACTGGACAACACTTAGTAACTAACAACTGATTGGAAACATCTTAGACGGCCTTACATTTGGTCAGATTGTTAGACATAAACAAAATGAAAAACCCATGCTAGTAAGGTTTTCGTAATTCTAAATAACCGAATAACTACGCAGGTTTGGGACAACGGTACACCTTTAAGATGAAGCTGATGTGTTAATCTTAGTCGATTTGACGACTTTACTATAGTTATTTGATATACACCCTTTAAAGACGACTAAGGAAACATACGATATATTTGTTATCTAACGCGTAGACACACATACACTGAACAACGAACCCAGTGCTGGTTGGTTTTTTGTTATTCAGAGGTTCTGAATACTTACACACCTCATGCTCATTTGGTACACCTGTGAATGGAACCCGCAATCTCTTATTACATGAGTGTCAATGTATATATATGACAGCACTGCTATAGATATTCCATATAGAGTGTTGCTGAATAACGAATAACGAAACACGAACCCTCTGCTATGGTAGGCTATATTTATCTTGCATTTTAGAACGTTATTCGTTATTCGATTGGTACAAATCTCTTATTACATGAATAACAGCACTGCTATAGATATTCCACACGAACCCGCTGCTAGAACGCTAAAAGACGAATTCAGGCTGCTATGCGAACCCAGTTTTCGTTACTGAATAAAACACCTCATGGGCGTGAATGGAACCCGCAATCTCTTATGGTTTGTCGGCATGGAATATACTGCTGAGAACGTCGCTCTCGAACCCGCTCTAACTTCAGGGTTGCTAAATAAAGAAATTTATGGTCGACTACCATAGATTCTCGCCTTTATGGGGGTAGTCAGTTACGAAACGTTCACGGTGGGCACCGTGTTGATGCGTTATCGTCTTGAAACACCGAAAAGCTACACCAATATGGCGCGCATTACGCAAAGTTGGCGCGAGTATGTTGTTCCAGTATTACTTCCAATGACTCTTCAATGAACAACATGCTGTCGCGTTCTGGAAGTTCTTGAGCGGCAGAAAGCATTACCGAGCCAACCCCAAATTTGCCACGTTGACGTTAGCTAGTAGGACGTCCCCCAAAACGCCCACGCCTATCTATCCAGCAAGTCCAGAAAGAAGCTGGTTTCATCTGAAAAAGTTACAATCGACGACTTCCACTGTTTCCTGTCTGTAAAGAACAAACGTCTAGATAGGCTGTGTCGATTTGTTGACGGTGGTACAAGACGTTGTCGCAGTGCATGTGGAATATTTCTAATCGTTATGAACTTGAACTCCTGTGGATTGGCTCAAGTTAACAGCGACTTAATTAGTTGTGTGGGCTAGTATGAGCTGACGAACGGATAATGAGTGTGTGAGTGAGTTTAGTTTTAAGCCGCACTCAGCAATATTCCAGCTATATGGCGGCGGTCTGTAAATCTTCGAGTCTGGACCAGATAATCCAGTGATCAACAGCATGAACATCGATCTGCGCAGTTGGGAACCGATGACATGTGTCATGGGTTGCTGAAGACCTATTCTACCCCGGATCTTCACGGATCGAATGGATAATGAAAACCAACACTACTAATATAGCTCAGAGAGATTATTCGAACTTTCGTATCAAGAATGACACTCTACCAATATTCACGGAAGAATGGCCTGGTCGACATACACTTTTCGGGTGTGTTTAGGCGTCAGGATGTAGTTCGAAAACGCGCTGGCAGTCAGTATTTATAGCTTTCACATAGGCGTAGGAACAGTTTAAAAGTTGGGGGGGCAAGATTTCGAAATTGATAACGGGGGTGGGGTGGAGAGAGGAGATATATGAAAAGGAAAGACGAGTTCACTTGCTTTGCAATTTCTCCACAAAGAGTGTCCCAGCCCTTGTCTGCAGCTTTAGAATACTTCACAAGAAGGTCTTTATAATAACTTATTCTCTTTATACTTGGTCTTAAATATCTGAAAAATAAGAAATTGGAGTCACTGTCATTTTTTCTTTATGATAATCATATTTTGGGTGCTGACAAATAGAACAATAGGGTACTGAAAAACAATAGTTTTATACTATAAATATATTATAATTACATTCAATAACAAGGCAGAAGTGAGCACAGCTCACATACCCCCGCTTATAGTCTGATCGCCTTCAATACCATTATTGAATACCAAAATAATATTTTAGGAAAACTTTCAAT